CCAACAGAATTTGAAGATCCAAATCTACTTCCTTTGCTTGCTGAATTTTCAGATATATTTGATGAACCGCGCAGCCTACCTCTTACTCTTCGGTTTGATCATTATATAATGATTCTTTGAGGCAAATGTCCAGCAAATACTCAGCCATATCAGTATCCACATCTCCAGAAGGATGAAATAGAAAGTATTATAAAAGAGATGCTCAAAACAGGAGTTATTTGGCCAAGTTGCAACCCCTACTCTTCACTGGTGCTCCTCGTACGAAAGAAGGACAGAACATGGCGATTGTTTATTGATTACCGAGCTCTCAATGGCATAACCGTCAAGGACAAATATCCTATTCCAATAGTAGATGAATTGCTAGATGAAAGGGAGCACAAATCTTCACAAAGCTGGACCTTTGATCCGGGTATCATCAAATACGAGTGTGCGAAGAAGACATACCGAAAACCACCTTTTGAACACACAACAACCACTATGAATTTTTGCTTTCCTCAACAGAAGGTGGAATATCTTGGGCATATCATATCAGAGGAAGGTGTAGTAGTGGACCCCTCCAAAATAGAAGCAATGCAGAACTGGTCGACCCCGAGGAACATAAAATTGCTGCATGGATTTCTAGGTTTAACAGGCTACTACCGCAAGTTCGTGAAAAACTATGGAAAGATCAGTGCACCACTTACTTCCTTACTGAAAAAAGATGTCTTTCAATGGTCAGACAGAGCCTCCGCTGCCTTCAACAAACTTAAGGTAGCCATGACGACGACGCTGGGGCTAGCACTACCAGATTTCAACCGACCCTTCATTATTGAGGTCGACGCATTTGGAGTCAGAATTGGTGTCATTCTCATGCAAGATGGTCAACCACTCGCATACACTAGCAAGGCATTATCTCCCTCCCATCAAAATAAGTCAACAAATGATAAGGAGATGCTCGCCATTGTGCGCGCAGCAACGAGGTGGAGACCCTACTTGATTGGTCGACAATTTCAAATTAAAATTGACCATAAAAGCCTCAAGTACTTTTTGGAGCGAAATATATCATCCCCTGAGCAGCAAAAATGGCTACCTGAGCAAGCTGAAGTTTCGGTCGTTTCACTTCCGACCAGTGACTTCCTTGAAGATATTAAGATGGAATGACAGGAAGATTCAGAGACTAGTAAGATTATAAAAAAATTGGAGGAAGCACCAAGCTTCGTGGCTCATTACAATTGGGACTCAAAAGAATTACACTATAAGGGACGCATTGTGCTTATGATAAATTCTACTTGCATCTTCCCGAGCAGATTTTGGATAAAGTTATTTCATATGCAGGGTACTAAATTGAAAAGGAGTACGGCATATCACCTACAAATCAATAGCCAGACAAAAGTTGTAAATAGGTGCTTGGAGACAGCCCAAAGCCACCCACCAAATATGACTATCCAAAGAGAACTCCAGACCCAGCCAAGTGCCATTATTGATCGACGGATCATGACTCGATGACGACGACCCACTACTAAAGTGCTAATACAGTGGGTGAACCTACCAACAGAAGATGCCACTTGGGAGAACTATGATGACTTGAAGATCAAATTCCCAAAATTCATGAATCGTCAACCTCGAGGACAAGGCTGATTTGAAGAGGGCGGGTTTGTTAGGACTCTAGCTAGGAGAGTCCTAATTGAGAGGGACATTCATGTAAAACCTACCTAAGCCGACCCCTATTAAAGAGGTGAAGTGGCCGGCTAGGGTTAGGAGGTTATTTCTTAGAGAAGAATAAGGAGTTGTAAATGAATAGGAGTCTTGAGTAGGAGTCCTATTAGGAGTTGGTTAGAAGTAGGAGTCTTGAGTAGGAGTCCTATTAGGAGTTAGTTAGAAGTAGGAGTCTTAAGTAAGAGTCATATTAGGAGTTAGGGTTTAGAAGCCCTATAAATAGTCATGTAATCCACCTCTTTTCATAGGCAATAGATGAATCTTTTCTGCAGCCTTTGAACAGCAACTTGGAGGGAGGAACCCCTATAGAGTTCCAAGGAGGTCGATCCCCTAAAAAGATCAACCCCAAGTTTAGAATCTGCAAGGGTTCTAACAATATATTAATATATTAAAATTCACTTTTGTAAAAAAAATGTTCAAGTTTCCTATAACTTGATTGCCAGGTCCATCAACACTCTCATTCTTGCTTCCCTCTTGTGCTGTGCAGATCAAGCATTTAAAAGACAAATGTACTTGATCTGTTCATTCTGGATAGCTTTGAAGGATGCACCTAAAATTGCATAAGGCATCAAGTAAACAGACAATAAATTTGAAGAGAATATATATGATAGCATGTGCGGCATTTGCACTTACTGCATATGCTCTAGAATCCCTGCTATCAACAAGATAGATTGATGTGAATTGGTTTCATTTCTTAGTCACTTTGGATTATGTTCAATGGTGTGAAACTTGTGTGCTATTTCTAGCAAAGTAAGAAAATTTCTGATTAAACACTGTTTCATACCCTTCCACAGACAACATATATACTTTGAAAAAGTCATTATCTATGATGTGTAAAAATGATAAGCCCACATTTTTAAATTGTGAATATTCTGCTAGACCACAACTGTTCTATTCAAGAAATGATGCACATACACAATTTGAGAAGTATTTAACTTCGTATTTCTTTTTTCAAGATCTCACTGCAAAAGAGATGCAGGTGGCAACATGCAGAGTCTAATGTCTTTCGTGTGTCTTGTCAGGTTATGTGCGTCTTTTGCTTATACGTGTGCTGTGCAGCAACAGATCCTGGTGACCCTGGTATTTTCAAATCCAAGAAGCATCTTAAACTAGAGGATCACAGAGAACAGATTCTTGCCGAGGTATCTAAGCAAGAAGGCTCAACAAAGGAACTAAACATTGAAACAACTGCCGAAATGCAACTTGATGGGAACATCAACTCGGATGCCACTAGGGATGAATTACATTCTGAAAGTGAGAGATTGCCTGGCTACACTATGACTTGGATGGCAGCATTTTTGAGCTGTTGTGGAATGTCTTTTATATGTAATTGGTGTCATTCACATGAGCAGTCTTCTGAACAGCAACTGAGTGAGGAAGGCATGTTTTACTGCAGTCTGTGTGATGTTGAGGTATGCCAAAAACTAAAAACATACCAAAAAATAATAACATACTATATTATTTCACCATATAGGTTCTTTGTCATCAATCATGTTGCATTTTACTCCTTGGACCTTCTCCTAAATTCATGCTGCTTCAAAATCAACTAATTTGATTTGTAATTTTTCCTGGAATATTTTATATTGGATATTTCCTTGAATTGAAAAAGGTGGATATAATCTACTTATGCTCTAGGACATAGTCACAAACTGAGTCAGATATGTTTTTCTAATTATGCTTTGATCATGTGCGAAACAGAAGGTGCCTTTAACTCTTAAGTAATGTGCACCTTTGGCCGTTTCATCATGTGTGACTTACTGTTAGGAAAAACATATGTTTTCCATTGGTATTATGAGAAATTATATTTTGAATTGTGGTTCATCCCTTTTCTATCGATGAGCTAAGTAATGCTGGAAACAACTGAATAAAGGATATTTCAATTCTGTTTTCCAATTTTGTTATTCTCTAAATGGTGGGTTTTGTCTATGCCCCCAGGGTCCTCTTTTCATTGCATCTATAGTTGGCACTTGGCAGCACCAAACATTATTTTGTTTTACCCGGAGGTTTTAGTGTTAATCTAAGTTGAGAAAAGGGAGAACTATGTGCTGTGTTCTATGCAGTCAGCTATCATTGACTCAAGTGCTCACTTTTGGCGACAGGAAAGCATTTAGTTATCTCTAAGATTTGAATTGTTAATGTTGCAAGTATGTGTACTTGAAATTTTGTGTCCAGTCTATTCATTGACTTTTTTTTCTAAGCTTTCATCCACATCCTTTGCAATTTACTGTGAGGTGGCAAGCCCTTTACTGGTTACATTGCTTCACATTTTCCTGTTGGCATTAGGACTATGCATGAAACAAAAAATGTGTAATAATTAAAAATTGTTCACTATTTGGATAAAAGATGATTAGTTGCATATTTTTTTCTGGCTGTTCATCGCAGCATTTAACTAATCACATTTAAGTTGTGGATATAAAGATAAGACCGAAAAGATATTTTTCTAGGAATTCATACATACCTTTTCAAGGAAAACAATAATCTAATGTACTTTCTATTAGTTTTGTTCTTCTCTCTTATATATAACTTGGGCCACTCGTTCTGCAGGTGTTGAAGTATAGTAAGCATTGTAGAGTTTGTGACAAATGTGTGGACGGATTCGATCATCATTGTAGGGTGAGAATGTTCACACCTCTAAGTTCTTGCTTCTCTTTCTGAGGATGATATCCAATTCTTAATATCTTGCCTTTATTTTATAGTGGATCAACAACTGTATAGGAAGAAAAAACTATAAAAGGTTCTTCATCCTCATGGCATCTTCTCTTCTCTTGGTAAGTGCAAGTACTTTTATTTGCTAAGGTGGTTACATTTGTAAGGAGCATCATCATATGCCTGCAGACGTGATAATCCTATTAGTGTGCCTACTAAGAAGACACTAACTGCAGACTGAACCATGGACCTGATAGCATGCATTTTGTTGGGTCCTCTTCATTCTGATTGACTATTGTCAGGTCTCCATGCTTTGTGCACCTTGGGCCAGCTTATTCTGCAGTGGTTGATTGGGATCCTCGTGTTAATACTCTGTTCTCTTGAACGAAAGCGGTTCTCTGCAGAAATCATCTCAAAGTTGGGAAGCAGCTTCTCTTTAATACCATTTATCGTGGTGGTGGTGAGTTATTGAAGTAGGAGTTTAATAAATGTACCCACAGATAGTGATGAAAATGACTCTTCAATACCTCACCTAATTATCTGACACTGTGGCTCTACATTTGCAGGCTTCCTGTACCTTCTTAGCCATGGTTGCCACTCTACCAGTCGCACAACTTTTCTTCTTCCACATACTTCTGATAAAAAAGGTAAATTATTGCTGAAACTCTCTTTCTGCTATTAGCAAAATAGTTCTACTGCTTTTAGGAAGATGCCATTTTTTTTGTTTTGACATCTAAGATGCATCCATGTTAACAATGCTCTATTCATATCTAATACACAACTGACTTTGTTACAATTTGTGATCAAAATATAATATATCTTTAATATAGAATATGATAGAAATAGTAGTTGATTGCAAAGTCATCAATTTAGGCTACCTTATATTAATTAATATTTGCAAGGATGTGGTCACAGGGAATCAGTACGTATGATTACATCATAGCTTTGAGGGAGCAGGAGCAGGAACAACATGCTGTTGATGAACAACAAAGTCCACAAATGTCTCAAGTGAGTTCCTTCACTGGAATAAGCAGCACCAGTTCTTTCAATGCATTTCATCGAGGGGCATGGTGTACTCCACCAAGACTATTCCTTGAAGATCAGGTACCATGTGTATCTTTCTTCTGAAGGTTTCACAACACTCAGAACGTAACTAAGAACAAATAAGACAAGAAAAAGCTGTATTTGAAGAATCACTATTAGCGACTAACTTCTGTGGACATTTTAGGTGAAGCAATTTTTTTATCATTTATTACTTAGAATATGATCGATAAAGCATTTAAAAAAAAAACAAAAAAGCACTCTTGTCAAGCTATTTTAGTGGGTTTTCTTGTTCTGTCTGGTTTTGATGCGTTAAGTCAAAAATAAATATACAATTCACTTTCTTTCTTTTTTCTGATTGATAAAAAATACATTTATATTCTTGTTTACATGCTCGCTTTGAGTCCTAGTCTCTTGAAAATTTAGTTGCTGTCTTATTGCATTTAAGATTGTTGAATCCTGAGTTTGATTGTGCTTGAATGATAATATCCCAAAGTTGTGAGTCTTTACCAAAAAACAATTTGCATGTTTTTCTTGATTTCAACTATCAACAATCAACATGTAAATACTGTAAGCATAAAAACTGAAAATATGTTACTATTATATGGAAAAACTTAATGCTAGAATTGAAATCAAATAAAGATAGATTAAGATCAGGATTGCATACCTTTCGATGTCATTTTAAAAAACTTTATCTAATCTACAAATGCATTGTTGTCGAATCCGAAAGCTGCAGTGATGCCAATCTACAAGGATAACTAGATTCGTCTTCTCTTTTCTATCCTTAACAGGACCACTATAAGCGACGAAATAGGGACTTAAGAAAGTTAAAAATAGATTTTGTATTGTGTGTAGTTCCTACGAAGTCCTGTCTATTTATAGATGAGAACAAAGGATCTAGGATAAGAAAGTAGGAGAGTCCCTCCCATCAAGATCATCTCCTAAGAAATCCTACCATAAGTGGACTTTCTTTCTATTAACCGATAATCATAACCAAAATCTAATCAGATCTATGATACATCTTACCTAATTAAATAAGGTCACATAATCTAACATTCACCCACTTGATCCATTAATTGATAAGATATAAAAGAAATTTAAAATCAAAATAAATAAAATAAAATTTTATTTAAAAATAATTTTACCTAGTTGTATTTTAAAAATTTTAAAAAGTATTTTATGGATGATCATGAATTTTAAAACAAGCCAATAAGTCTAATAAGCACAACAATATTGCATTAAGGCTGACTACCAATGCGAGTAACACTGGTTATATGTTATCGATATCATACTTCGTTTTATGTATCATAACATTGTTAGTCTTTCTTAATATAATCTATAACAACCCCTATAATTTGCCTTGTTAAGACAATCCTATTATCATATTCAACTATAATATGTATAAATATAAATGTAAACATGATAATAGAAATGAATAACATTAATTAAGAAAAGAAAAATATCAATAATAATTTTCACGTAAACTTGTATCACCATATCTTTTATAGCTTGCTTATAAGGCTCATTTTAAGAAAATATTCTTTAGGCACTTTAGGCTGTAAAACTTTAGTAATGGATCAGCTATCATCAAGGTGGTACTTAGGTTCTCAATTGACACTTATTGTTTCTGAATACCTTCTCCAACCACCAAGTAAAGTACTTGTCATTGCTAGAAAAGAAAATTGTCACGATGTTCTCATAAAATATCTTCAGCGGTTTGACAATTAAATCGACTACTCTAAGTCCTAAGATGAAATTTCACAACCATAAAACCTAATTTGTGGCCTCAAATTCAACTTCCATTGTTGATGATGCAAGAAGTGAATGTTTTGTACTTTTCCAAGAAATTGCCTCTCTAACTAATATAAATATGAATTCTTAAGTGGATTTCTTACTATCAAGGCAATTTGCAAAAGCAATATCTGAATATCCCATCACTTTAAGTTAATTTGATCTTTTGTATATGAGCATATGGTTTTTCATCTCCTACAAATATCTTATAACTTACTTTACAGCTTTCCAATATTCTATTCCTGGTTGCTTTGGTGTCTGCCCAACATTTCAACTATAAGATTGATATCTTGTCTCGTACTGGTTTAAGCTATAATAAACTTTTAACTACGGATGCATAAAGAATATCTTTCACTTGATTGCTTTCTAAGTCATTTTTAGGACACTAGCTTTGACTGAATTTTTTACCTTTAGTAATAGGTATATCATTAGGTGAACAAAACATCATACTAAATCTCTTGGAGACTCGCTCGATATATCCTTTTTGAGGCAATCCTTGCAATATTGGATATATCAATACCAATAACATAAGCTGTCTCATTCATATTAACCATCTTAAAATTCTTAATAGAAAATTTCATAGTTCTGTGCAATAATCTAAGCTCACTATTGGCAAGCAAAATATCATCCACATATAAGACCAATATAATAAATTTGCTCCCATTGGCCTATAGATATATACACTAATCAATAATATTTTTCTTAAACTCGAAAGAAGTAATGGTATCATGAAATTTTATATATCATTGTTTGAAAATTTGTTTAAGGCCATATATAGATTTCCTAAGTTTGTAAGCCTAAAATTTCTTTTTCTTTTCTACGAATCCTTCAGGTTGTTCCATGTGAATTTTCTTATTTAGATCCCGATTTAGAAATATCGTTTTCACATTTATATGATGTAACTTAAGATCATAATAAGTTATTAATGTCATTACGATCCTCAACGAGTCATTTTTAGAAATTGGAGAAAAGAACTCATTATATTCGATGTATTTTTTTTAGAAAACTTTTGGCTGTAAGTCTAGCTTTATATCGTTTGATATTGTTCTTTGAGTCATGTTTTGTCTTAAAGACTTATTTCCAATCGACTCTTTTATAATTATTAAAAAAATTAATTAGTTCCTAGACACTTTTCTAGTCCATCGATTTCAACTTTTCTTTCATTACATTCTATCACTTTTTAAGATCGATATTTTCCATGACTTGTGAAAACGATAAGAGGTTCTTTTTTATTCCTATATCATAATTTGATTCTTTTAGATATATAACATAATCATCAGAAATAACTTTCCCTTTGAGTATTTTTAAAAATTGATAATTATGGTTGTTCCACAAAATAATTAGCAGCAACATAAACATTATGTGGACAATGATTTGAGGAATAATAACCTCTCGAATAGGAAATGATAAAGGAATATCAACTCATATATCATATATATAAAATAATCAGTACCTACTATCGCCATATTATGGTTAGGGTAATAAATTCTGTATCTCTTGAATTTTTCTGGGTAACTAATGAATTATCCAAAAATGATTCTTAGATCCAATTTCTTTTCATGTGGATTGAAGACTCTTATCCATGTGGAATAATCCCAATATATAGATATCTCAAATTGTGTTTTCTATCAGTTTATAACTTAAATTGGGCTATGAAACCGACTTACTAGGAACCCAATTCAAGATATACATAGTTGTCATAAGAGCTTCACCCCATATTAATAGGTATAGAAAAATAACTCATCATTCTCCTAATCATGTTCATAAAAATACGATTTTTCCTCTTAGCAATGTCATTCTGTTGTAGTACACCTAGTAAGGCATATTGAGCACAAATATCCCGCGTTTCAAGGAATCTATCTAAATGACCAAGATTATGACTTGACATCATATCTACCATAAAATTCACGACTCTTATCGTATCTTACAATTTTGACTTCTCTATCTGATTGTCTTTTGGCTTCATTTATGTACACCTCAAGAGCGTCAACAGCTTGAGACTTATCATGTATTAGATACACATAGCTATATCTTAACAGGTCATCTATAAATGTAATGAAATATCTCTCTCTATTAAAACAGGGAATATGAAGCAATTTGCAAATATCAGTATGAATAATCTCAAGGAGTTCTTTACTTGTAGCGGCGACGACACTGTAGCGGCGACCAGATCTAAGGCGACGGTACTGTAGCGGCGACCAGATCTAGGGCGATGACACTGTAGCGGCGACCAGATCTCCCTAGGGCGATCTGACTCTTGCAGCGTCGGCTTTCTCCCACGGGTGATGGGCGACGACATTGTAGCGGCGATTAGATCTCCCAAGGGCGACGGTACTGTAGCGGCAGCGACGA